GAGAGAGATAGTGAACAAATGTAGTCAGTTACACTATTTACATTTAGACATCCTCAGGAATGTGTAATTAGTGTATTATGGAAAATTAGATAAACTGAAAAAACAAGTTTTTGTTCAATTTATTAATAGTTCAGATAATTTTTCTGGTTTCCAGGAAGAATTTGAACATGTCTTCTGAATGCTTTCAGCTTTCATAAGCCATTTGAAAAGAATTTTTTTCTGGGCTTATAGTGTTATGTTTCTGAGTGCATTTTGTTTCTTTGGAAGTTTTCTAGTGATGTGTCTTCACATAAAGAATGTTGTATCAGGTTTTTTGAAGCATCTATTCATGGTACCATATCGGGCTTTTTAATTGTAAAATATATTAAGTATGACTATTATAGTTTTTCACATAATACACAACCCTGAAGATGACTCATAAGAATTGAAAGCTTGGGTATAGCCATTAGAAAAGTTTTTGAAATCTCATTGACAATTGCAATTTTTGTGAAGGATCATTCACAATTTGGAGAGGAAGAAACAAAACAGACACAAAATGCCTATACTCTTTAATAAATAGATCTAATCAGGCTTAGATAGGCAGATACATACACACACACACACACACACATATATATATATATATATATATATATATATGCACACAATTGTGTTTGCCATGTACATTTACTCATTATTCTTTCTATGAAATAAAAGGTTTGTTTTGGTTAATGAAAGTTTATATGTTTGTTATTTTTATTGACAATATTTTATATATATTTACAATTCAAAATGGCCACTCTTTGCTTTCATCATAGACCTAAATCTCGTCTCAACTGAAGTGCATGACTTCTTCACCACCTCTTTGTTCAAATTGAACCACAATACATCATAAGTGCTTCTTTCAGGTCTGACACACTGGAGTATGAGATACGTGAAATACCACTCTCCAATAAGGGACATATTGAAAAATCCATAGAGTTTGATAGAGGCTAAAATGACTTGTGAAAAAATCCATGGAAATGTCTCTTGCATCAGTTTTGTGTCAAATTGGCCATGTATGAAGGAGCTCTTGGTCTCATAGCAACTGACAATCAGGGAAAAGCACAACTCTCTCAATCATTTGATGGTAAACTCTGTTATTCACTTCCATTTGTTCTTCAATAAAAAACCAAAGGTGATTTTGAACCATCAGATACAACAGCAGCACAAACTATGATACCAGTTGCTTTATATCACTTGAAATGTGTTCTGACACCTTTGGAAATGTTGAAGTGGCATAAACCCTATCATTTTATTAGTTGGCCACAGCCATCACAGTGAAAAACTTCTCATTCAACCAATTGAACTCATTCAGCCAATTTTGTCTGTAGTATGCTGCATCTTTTCCAACATTTTCTTCCCTCTGGCAAGCTGGTTTTGCACTTGAGAATGGCCCTAAATCCTCTTTCACAACCTTCCTTTGTGGCCTATCCAAAATATTCAGCTCTTTTGTCATTTTCCTCATGCTTCCTGGTGGATTTCTCTTCAATGTCTTCTTGACGGCTTTTATGATTCTCCTAGTACGAACCGAATGGTTACTATAATGACAAAAGTAGGCAGGTGTAGGCTTTAAGAAAGCTTTATTCAACTGAGGATACAAGGTTCACATATAGTGTCCTTTTATAATCCCAGTAAACAGAAATAGCTCTCTCAAAGAGGAGAGTAATGAAACAAGGGGAGATCACTCTTCATTATTCATAACAGTTATTTCCTAGAATTGCAGTTGGCGGGTTTGTTTCCTCCACACATTAAAAACTGTTTTTCTGCAAGCATTCAACTATTTTATAACATTCAACTGTTTTATAGTCACACAATTATTCATACCAGCCATTTTCAATTCAACAATTTGATCACATTCTGCCACTGGAGGCAATAAAATTGAAAAATGTTAGGAAGCCTTTTGCAAACTTTGAACATATTTCTTATGGCTAGGTATGTTCCAGTTGATGTTTAAATAATGAGTAAATATTTATGCCGTATCTGATAGATTGAGGTAGATATGAACAGATTTTGATAGGAAGATAGATCTACACAGATTTAGATAAATATGAACAGATTTAGATAAATAAATAGATGGTTTGTTTAGCCCTAGATGAATAGATAGAAAGAAAGAAACAGTTTAGATAGATAAGAACTGAAATAGATGAATAAATAACTCTATAGACTGACTGAGTGAGAGGGGAGAGAGAGAGAGAGAGAGAGAATGGAAAATAGATTAAAAGAGAGTGGACAATAAGCTTAAAACATTTTATAGATAGCAAATAAAAAACCTAATTTCAGATAAGTCAATGATTTTTCTGGGCAACAAAGGCATAATTTATTTTGTTTTTTTCAGGAAGGCAGATCCATTAAAGCAGGAAATGGATGCCATAAAACCATGAATACTTATTAGAAGTATTTAAATAAATTGACTAAGGTTTAGATGGGTTTCCTGTAGGAAAAGAAAGAGAGGAAGAAAGTCATAAGAAAAAAAGAATGTGACAGAGAGAAGAAATAAAGGAAAAAAATGTGAAACAAGAGGAAAAAGAGAGAAGGGATAGCAAAAGTAAGGGATGCAGGAGAGAAAGAGAGTGGGAAAAAGAAAGAGAAAGAGAAGATAGAAAAAGTTGAAACAAAGAAAGACAAAACAGAAGGTAATAAATGGAGAAGAGGAAAATTTATGAAGAAAAAAGAAAGAAGCAAGAGAGTGATAAAGAAGATGAAAAATAGAAGAGAAAGTGGAACTAGTGACTAAAGAAAAAAAGAGAGAAACAAAAATAAAAGCAAAGCAAATTGAAAGAGAAGGGGAAAGAGAAAAGGGAGGATGAGTGAAAGAAAGAGCAGAATATATGCAGAAAGGAAAAATGAAAGAAATGCAGGGAAAAAAGAAGTAAAATAATTGAAGATATGTAGGGAAAAGAAAGAAAGGAAGTACAAAAGTTATGTAAGGAAAAGAAAGAAAAAAGATGTAAGATTAGAAAAGGAAGAGAAAACAAATTAGAAAGAAAGAAATATTAAATATATTGGATGGAAAGTTTAAAGGGATTGATGATAAATGAAAAAATGCAAAAAAAAATTTATTTTCCTTGAGAGAAAACTCCAGGTCATCTATCAAGATCAACCTTCATAGAATACAATGTTGTGCAAAAATTGATTTATTTTATTATATTCAAATGAAACAAGCAGACAATTTCTAAAAAATATAATCATATTAAACAAAATCAAATTAAACTTGAACTTTTTTTATCTGTAAATTTCATTTCAAAGTTTTCACTTTTTATACATCAAATTATCAAAATACATTTAAAATTATGTTTAATTTTTCAATAGTTTTTCTTTCATTTAATTTTTTTATTTTGCTTATTCACGCCTACTAGTAGTAGTATTAGATATAATAGAGGTTCAGATGGCTGAATTCTTTACATGAAGCATTGTCAGTATTATTCATTTTTCACAAGATTTTCATTTTTCTTTTTTTGCCTGTTTACATCTAGTATATTTAATAGTATACAGTTACCTGAATTTCTTACAGGAAGAATTGTCATTGTTATTCATTGTTTAATAGTTTTTCATCATGTTTTTTTTGCTTGTTTACAACTAGGAATAGTATTAGATGTAGTAGTGTTTAGTTTTCTGAATTTCTCAAATGTCATTATTTTTCACTAGTTTTACTTTCATTTTATTTCTGCTGATATTCATCAAAATATTGAAATTATTTTTATATACAGTCATTCAAAAAGCATTGATAAGAAATAAAGAATTAATAATGAAGGAAAATGGCTATGAGTTCATATCTCATTATAAAGAATTAATAATGGAGGAAAGTGGCTATGAGTTCACATCTCATTATAAAGAAATAAAAAATAAGGGTTGAAGGAAACTGACTAAACACTCATATCTCATTATAAAGTAATTTCATGTTTTCAATTCTTGCTGCTTTACTTAATGTTCATAAAACATAAAAATAGCCTGACATTTGCAATAAAAGATTTGTTGTTCATCCCAAATAATCATTTTAATGACTCCTTGGATATTTGTATTGCAAACAATGTTTTACAGATTCATGTGAGTTTAGGTAACTAAAAATGCTCAGTGGAATGAAATGGGCAACATTGATAGGAGTTTGTTAGAAAAATTCCAGATTATATTTGACAACAAAAAATAGAACAAGTTGTGAATTTTAAACAAAGAAACAGGAAATATTTTAATAAAACATATTGACAGGAAATAAAGGAATTTCATCCCTCAAAATTGTCAAATTTTCAGACACAATCTTCACTTCATGTTTCTGAAGTGATAAATTATTTACCTGCTGTGTGTGTAGAAAAAGAATGTTTTATCGCTCATGTGCTCAATGTGAAAGAGGGCATGTCCTTGAAAAATGACACCACCTGTAATTCTAAACTTATGGTGTTAATCCCATGGAGCAATAGAAATAGGATGGAAGGAAATCTGTTTGAAAATTAATAACAAAGCTTAATCTGGGAAATAGTGACAACTTAAGACTATTATTGTTGTGGATTCCAGGATGAAATCCGGTCTCAAATGAATGACAAATGCAGGAATGAAATATAGCAAATAAATGTATTGATGTAATAATACAATTGGTAATACGGTTAGTAGATCCAGAAATGCGGTTAGTAGAAATAATAATATATATACAGTCTGGGAAATTCAGTACCAAATATGACTTCCTTCTGAGTCTACATGCTCGCAACTGTGACTCCTACAAAGCGGTTACCTCAGTCTCTCACACTCTCACACTCTCACTCCCGGGTATTCACCGGCAGCAGTACAAGTACACACTGGGCAAGTCCACTTGTATAAAAAGGGGTGGACCCCTTAACAATTATATCTAATACTACAATAAGGTGTAAGCAAATAATATTGTACAATATTTCTTTAAAATTAAAGTAGTTTTATTATGTCATCATGTTTTCCTGTTAGCAACTTTTACTATCAACTGGTAGTGATCAAAGTACTGATCATCCTTCTATATCATGGGCTATCTACCACCATCACCTATGCCACTTTTGCACTGGAATGGTGCCAGTACTAATACCAAATTCCTCACAATTGCCAAAGTGAGAAATATGGAGAATCTATATTACATAAGGCCATCTCCCAAACAAGGGAATACACAAAAATCACAACAAACCAATTAAAAATTATAAAATACAGTTGAAAATAATTACTATTTGACAACAAAACAGCATGGTTAAAGAAAGGCACAGAAAGAACATGTGATGTAAACAAGGGAGGCTATGATGGAGCATTTACAAATTTGTTATAAAATGACATCGGTCCATGTGATGATGACACACTCAAAACTGTTTATTTGGTAGAAATCAAAAATTACTGAACATACTCAATGAATATGAATTTGCTGTCAGCCATTGTTTAGTATTTGACTGGTTTGTAGCAACACAATTCCATATATAGCAAAGGTTGATGTACTGAGTATTGTAATGAATTTCTTTGTGCACTTTGATTAAAGGTGTCTGTAATATATACCACAGTAGACCTTCTATTAGTTTGTGATTGGTGTAAAAAAACATCCATTTACATCTAACATTAATGTCTTGTTGGCAGTTGGTCATTTTTCTCTCTTTGCATCATCATTAATAGGTACTCATTTCAGCTGAACATGGGCATTCTACAAGCTATGCTATTTCACTTAGCACTAATATACATTTAGAAAGGCATGAACGCACACATCCCTCTGCTCCCCTGTCACCATATATAATGAAATAATCTTTCATTACTGGCATATCATTAAAAGTGTGGGTAAATGAACACTTAAACAAATCTTATCACCGAGGCAGTATTAACAATAAAAGTTGTGACGACTGTTTAAATTTGACAGTGGCCAGTCAGTTGATATAAATCTCTCTTTCTTTCTGTATATATGTGTGTGTGTGTGTGTGTGTGTGTGTGTGTGTGTGTGTGTGTGTGTGTGTGTGCAAAAATATTGAAAAATAGGAAAGAACTGTTAGGTTAATAATCTGAAGTTCTTTAGTATTTTTGTTTTTATTTTTAAAAACAGTGCTTGATACAAAAATTTTCCAAAATTTGCTTGAGGATGAAACAGAAGTAGCTACATTAATTTAATTTCTGTAATTGAATTGGAAGTTTTTAGCTTCTGTTTTTGAAACATGGTGAACATATTTTTAAAAAAATAATTCTAATTATATATATATATATATATATATATATATATATTAATAGTTGGCTACTTGTATTCGAGGATACCCATCTATTATTTAACATGATCAACATTCTGAACAATACCAGCACACTCAACCTCTCGGTCACGATGACTTGTGACTTCATGCTAGCACAGCCATCAATGGTCCCTAAGTGTTCTATCCAACCAATTTCACTCACAAGGCTTGGGTCAACCCATGGTGTGGTTTTTAGGCATTTTCCAAAGGTGCCGTACACTGAGATTGTCCCCCTCCAAATTGATAATCTCAGGAGGAAGACTTCCTGAGAAATCAACTGTGGTGAGATTCAAACCCGGGTCTCATATTCAGAAAGGGAATTTTCTAACCACTCGGCCACACACCCATAATATATATATATTGGCGGTTGACTTCCCTTTCAATCTAGCACTAACTTCCCAATGGCAAAAGAACTGGTCAGTTATATTCAATGCCTTGAAAACCAAACTGGTTACATTCTATCACTGACAATCAGATCCCAAACTACTGCCAGTCATGATGAATGGATGTCTGCTCGAGGAGACAGCATACCTCAAGAGAATATATATATCATACTTATGCCTGACCTCAAGTGGAATTCTTATATATGATCCATTGCTAAAGATATAGGTTAAATGATCAGTTCCCTGTACCACTCCATGTTGTGAAGTTATTTCGCAGTTGAGGCTTGTATTTGTACTAAATCGGTCCTAAAATTGGTTCGACGTACAAAACGTTAGGAACTTGATATAATAAGTATTACGCAGAGTAATCTTGTTGTGGTCGCTGACTTACTTTTGTATTCGACTGTCAACTACTGTCATCCGACATCAACTGACCCTCATTTCTCTTACTACTCCTACTTATATTAGGTGGGAGAGTCTATTAACTATAACACTTCAGTAAGTACCTGATTTCTTATGCTATCCTCTACCTTTATAAGAGCCAGATTAGTCAAAAATGGAGTACTGTTGCTATATTTTAACAGGAGCTTCTCAGTCCTCACTTTCCAGTCTTGATAGAGTTCAAAAGCGTCTCTGAGTCCTTTTGGGAGAAGAATTATTTTCCACTCTCCAATCTCTCCCTCTCTCTCACAGGCGGTATGTGGTGAGCCTTTCACTGCTCTGTTGCTACTACCATGCAAAAGTGATTGGACGAACTACATTACTTGGTTCCACCATGTCTAATCTTCACTGTTAGGACCTGCTGTGCTACTTACATTGTAGCAAACAACCCACATTCCCTCTGTATTCCATCAGTGAGAACTAAGTTTCACACAAACTGCTTCTGCCTGCGAAGCACTGCTCTGTGAAACCAACTCCCAAGAGGATGCTTCCCTGAGCACTACAATCTTAACCTGTTCAAGTCTAAAGTTAACCATTATCTTCCCCTTCTATCCATATAAACTCTACTCCTTAACATAACACTCTGCCTCAAGTGGCCCTCTGGCCTTACTGTAAAAAAAAAGTCCAAAATGACAGTATAAAATATTTAATATGAAAAAAAAAAGAAAAAAATATATTGTCCCTCTAACTGATACATATGACGTCACTTTGGACTGATTTTAAACCTTATCCTCCAACTTGAAGTTTCACAGACACAGATTTACTTGTCAGGATAAGATAAATCTAATTAATTAGATTTATCTTCTCAACCTGACCAGCGGATTAGTGTCTGCAGAACTTCAAGTCAGAGGGTAAGGCATTGAATTTTTAATTCATCTATTATTTCTCTCTTCTGTGTGTGTGTGTGTGTTTGTGTGTGTGTGTGTAATTGGGTTACCAGTGACTAATCTGGTGCACCCATCAGGCTTGACTGGTGAGGAGGGTAACTAGTCTCTCAGCAGGATGAAAAACAAGCCCTGACAAAGGTCAAATGAATCCTCTTTTTAGATCAATGACCATCCAGCATATTGTAGGGAGGCTGGGATAAAACAAAGAACATAAGCCTGAGGTCATCATTCCAAAGGCTAAAAATCAATTTTGCATGTCCAATGTCAGAAAATGCCAAGCCAATGAGCAACTATACCCACACGTAAAAAGAGCCAAGACAAGGTTTTGGTCCAAAGTAGCATTCTTTTATTGAGGTAAGAAAGTCTGGGATTGTTTGAAACTAGTAAGGAAGCATAAACAATTGCTATATTTCAAGACCTACTATAGTCAAGCTGATCTTGATTCGGATTTTCTTTTTTGACAGCAGGCACAAAGAATGCAAATTATTTTTTGAGGTAAGACTTGGCTTTCTTTGTCGCCACATATATACAGTATAATATCATGTATGTATGTGCATTTACAGTGATGTGCAAAATTAAGTGAACCCATCTGATAATATTTAAAATAATTGTCTGTTTATTCCAGATAATCAACAAATCTTAATTAAACTATTAAATGCAGCCCTGACCGAAACCCAACTTTTGAACTGAGGACAAGACATTTTTGTTCAAAATTGCTTGGTATCTCAAAGAGTCCATTGTGCCATCAATGCGTACTATTTTGCCTGTTCCAGCTGCAGCAAAGCAACCCCAAATCATAATACTGTCACTAGCATACATTATTTACATTTATTTTGCTCACTGGGCTAGACTGTTCTAGTTCCACTTGCCATGTTTAATGGATGTCAGTTATCAGTTATCTCCTGTTAATTTCCCTCTGAAAGTTCTCCACTGTCTTAACCGGGTATTGAACTCACACTCTTTGGGTCCTGTCAGTGGATCTAACCAACGCCTTTATCCACTGTGCCATGTGTCCTTTGACATTCCAAACACCTGAAGAATGCTGGAGCATACAACGTCTGAAACGTTGTAATAAATATGGTGACAAAGATGAGGACAATAGTCCTAATAATGTAAATAATGTACATAATACCTCATCTCAGAAATATAGACAGATGTCACTGGCATGTTTAATGGTTGGTATCAAATTCTCTTCAAAAGCCGTATTAGGGGCTCACCAGATATACCACCTATTGTTCTTCCCCAAAAGCTCTAGTTTGGTCTCATCCAACCATAAAACCTTTTGACAGAATGTTTCTTGCTTATAAATATGAGTTTAGGCATAGTTGAGGCAAGCATCTTTGTGCTATTTCATAAACAGTGGCTTTTTCTAGACATGATGTATGCACATTGATTCCAACATTGGACTGAGCATCGGAAAACCACAAAGGTCACAGCAGGATTTGCCTGGGATTGCCAAATTAGATATCTACTTACTCTTGCTGCTATTTTCATGGATGGCCACTTCTTCATTTATAAATTATTTGTTGCATGGTAGAGAAGTACATTCAAAATCATTTTGATATCTTTTTGTAACCTTCTCTATCATTAAAGGTTCCAACTATGCAATATTTTAAAGCTTCAGTAAGTTCTTTTTATCTTTGCATATATATTTGTTTTTTCTCTAACTGCACACTTTTCCATACTTAATGAGTTATATGGGTTTGGTCTGTTCTGTTTTACTTCATATCAACCTCAATGGCTCACTTAATGCCAACAACTTTTTTTTTTTTTCCTGGTAATATTTTTGTTTTGTCAAAAATCTATTTCTGTTAATATTTTTTCCTAAAAAATGTAGAGCTGGTAATATTATTTTTCCAAAAACACAGTTGGCAATATTATTTTTCCAAAAACGTATAGCTGGTAATATTATTTTTTGGTAATAAATTTTTACAAAGTATTTTTGGTATTAAAACCTATTTTTACACTTTTATAATGCTTTTTAACTCAGTTTCAGGGTTAACTATTGCCCATAGCTGGGACCCTAACAGCAGCAATTAAGAGGTGGTTCCACGCTCCTCAAAACCTCCTAATGAGAGGCCTTGCTGTTGGACGTAGCTTATTGTCTTACACAGGATGCAGATGTAGTTTATTGTCATACCCAGGATGCGGATGTAGTTTATCATCACACCCAGGATGAGGTTGTACTTTATTGTCATACCCAGTATGCGGATGTAGTTTATCATCATACCCAGGACGTGGATGTACTTTATCGTCATACCCAGGATGCGGATGTACTTTATCATCATACCCAGGATGTGGATGTAGTTTATCGTCATACCCAGGATGTGGATGTACTTTATCGTCATACCCAGGATGTGGATGTACTTTATCATCATACCCAGGATATGGATGTACTTTATCGCCATACCCAGGATGTGGATGTAGTTTATCGTCATACCCAAGATGTGGATGTAGTTTATTGTCATACCCAGGATGCTGAGTTATATTGTTTGACTGCAGTATACAGAGTTTACCAAAATAATGAACATGTGTCATTTTGATTTTTAAATGTAAGGGTTCACTTATTTTTCCACATCTTAATTTTTAATTAATATTTTTTTAATTAATGTTTTTTATTCCAGCCTAATAAAAATCTTTGAAAGGGGTTGTAATGCATTTAATAAAGGTTTTCTTAACAAATATATAGTTTATTTAAGATATGTTGATCATCTGGAAAAAAAGATACATTTTTTAAAATATCTGGGGGGGTTCACTTACTTTTGCACAGCACTGTATGTATATTACATTTGATGAGAAGGAAAGCTCAGGAAAATCAGCAGTTGAAGTTATCTGTCCTTGGCTTGTCACTCAGTATTAATCAGTATTAATCATGGAAATTCAAAGAGTGGCACCCATGTTGCATGAGTGTTTGTTTTGATAATCCAATGATATGCAGGTGTTTCAGCACCTTATCTTATTGTTTCAGGATTTCTGTATCTTGTCCTGGCTTCTCATTAATGATTCAATCATCTTATGGGCCATGGATACAAAATGAGACAGAAGCTATCACAAATAATGTGAGTGGTGAGGGGGCAGTTCTCATCTGAGTAAGATATAGCAATCACCATATATATATATATATATATATATATATATGAAGAAATATAGTTTAAGGTGTGCTATATTTATGGGATTAAGTGCTCAGTATCAGAGATAGAGCATATCTAAATATAAATGTAAAAAGTGAACATTGAAGTCAACACTCAGAGGCGACAGGCTGTTTCATGCTGGACGCAATCAGATTTTACAGATTTGTGGCCTGACGACTGCGTCCAACATGAAACAGCCTGTCGCCTCTGAGTGTTGACTTCAATGTTCACTTTATATATATATATATATATATATATATATATATATATATATATATATATTTTAACACATCACAAGAAATATTTAAATAAAATTCTCACTTAAAAATTTTTGAAGAACTTAGCGTTGCATCTTTGCACGTTCGATATCTTACAACCGTCAATAATAGCAGATATTCAAAAACATCTTTTTCGTCGACATACAGGTATATCGTTTCAAGTTTTTGATTTTATAAGGAAAAAAACACATGCCTGATGATGGATGGAAGACTGTCCGTAAGTACTAGCATTTTAACATCAAATAAACTGAAAAGACAACAAGTTTTTCTTCAAGGATCAAAACTCGCACTATGGATGAACAGGATTTTAATGCATATATTATGTTTTCTAGCGATGGATGTCGCCAATAATCGCATTGATACTTCTGATTAATTCTATGTGTGATTATTCTTTTATGTAAATTATATATATATATATATATATATATATATATATATATATATATATATATATATATATATATATATATATATATATATATATATATATATATATATATATATATATATATATATATATATATATATATAGAGAGAGAGAGAGAGAGAGAAAAGATAGATAGATAGATAGATAGATAGATAGATAGATAGATAGATAGATAGATAGATATCAGTACAATGTCTTGATAAAGGAAATAATCTCTGCTATTTTTATAACATTTATCAGATGCCATAAAAATGGTGAGTTCCTTGTACTGCTCCAATAAGTACCTGACTTCTTCTGCTATCCTCTACTTTTACAAGAGCTAAATCAGACCAAAAATGGAATACTACTGCCATATATGGAATGGAGATACCCAGTCTTCACTCTCCAGTTTTGATAGTGTTCATAGCGTCTAAAAGCATCTACACAGCCCTATGAGTGATGAATTATTTTCCACCAAGCAACCCTTTTCCCACAGACGAAATGTTGCAAGACTCTTGCTACTCATTCCCTTCATATTCCATTAGTGAGAAGTGAGTTCCACATGAACAGCTTCTTCTTATGAACCACTTCTTTGTGGAAGACTCCCAGGAGGATGCTTTCCCAATCACTACAATCTTAACCTGTTCAAGTCTAGGGCTAACTGTTATCTTTCCCACATATCTTTGTAAACTGCACCTCTTAACTCTTACTCTTATCACTCATACAACAAACTCCTGCAATAAACCTCTACCTTAATTGGCTCTTGGATCTTGTATAGGGCATCACTAGTAAAAGAAAAAAAGAAGAGCCTCTCTTTAATACGGCAAATGATTCAAGAATATTCCACAATGCAAAGTAAGATTTGACTTGTTATTAGCAAATCAAAAAAAAAAAAAGAGGAGATACCATTTTTCTTCTTTCTGGGCCCAAATTTGTGAACTTGTGTGATGCATTGAAAATACAAAAACAAATTTTTTATATATTTTACAGATATTTTCCTTATTTTATAATAGGATCCCTAGCAGGAGATTCACTATATTTATTATGTTAGTTTTTATGGATGGTATTCCCTTGACCCAAACCCACCCAGCCATTTTGTCTTTCTCACTCTCTATCTAGCCATCTATCTGTTTCTATCTATCTATCTCAGCTAAGTCATATCTATCTATCTATCTATCTATCTATCTATCTATCTATCTATCTATCCCAGAAAGGGATATATTTGTTTTAAGTAGAAAAGTAGTTGTTGACTACTGTAACTGGGTAGGACAATCTAGCAGGTAACCATAATGAACTGGTCCTCGTCGTAGTGGTAGGCAATAGGCAATGACAATAGGCAAAGTCAATAGGCGTAGTCCATGTACCTCAACATGAGTCTGTATTTATGGCTGACACCAGCCAATCATATTACTGTGAGGGGGAACCCAGGTGTATGCATATTCATTACATCACTATCTATCTATCTATCTATCTATCTATCTATCTATCTCAGTTTATTCACATCCATCTCAGTTGACTTATATCTGTCTATTGCTCTCAGTTCTTTCATTTTGTCAGTTAGGTATCTATCAGTCTGCCTTTTATCTATCCCTGTTTGTTCTGTCCAAGTATGATGCATCATGGGTAAGACGATAAACTGCATCCAACAGCAGTGCCTCTGATCAGGAGGTTTTGAGGAGCGTGGGACCACCTATTAATTGCTGGTGTTCCCATGTTCACCCTGACCCAAGGTGGTGGCACCTGTTGGAGTCCCAGCTATGTGCAAATAGTTGGCTCCCAAAATGGGGTCAAAGCACTGCAAAAGTGTAAAAATAGGTTTTAATACCAGCAATACTTTTTTGGAAAAATATTGCCATCACTGAAAATCTTGTCAGCCTTAAAAAATCTATTGAGGTTGATATACCATAAACCAAACCGAACCCTTTTTATTCATATCTATTAGCCTATTTCAATTTATCAATTATGTATCTCACTTTATTGATTTGATTCTTTATCTATATCTCTTTCTTAGTTTAGCTTCCTTATATATAACTCAATCTTTTTCTCTCTATCTTTAAACACACATGCACACACACATACATATATAAACACTGCATGGTGAGTGTCAGTTTTATGTCTCACACGTTCTCAGGTTCACGCTGGCCATCCTCTTCTGCATACACAGTACACCAAGCATTGTTTTTTGATCAACAGAGACAGCCAGCCTCATCGAAGGTTGTCTTTCACTTCCACTATATAATATATATATATATATATATATATATATATATATATATATATATATATATATAAGGTACGTGCCATCAGTAATTACTCAGGGTAGGCAGCTTGTGACCTTTATATAGTTTTTTGTTTTGTTTTGTTTTACGGCATATCAACACCTCAATGGGTCATTTAATGCTGACAACTTTTTTTTTTCCTGCTGATATTTTTGTCAAAAATCTATTTCTGTTAATATTTTTTTCCTCAAAAATGTATAGCTGATAATATAATTTTTTCAAAAACATATAGCTGGTAATATTATTTTTCAAAAATGTATTGCTGGTAATATTTTTTTTCAAAAACGTATTGCTGGCAATAGTTTATTTTTCTTCAAAAATGTATTGCTGATAATATTTTATAATGCCTTTTACCTCAGTTTCAGGGTTAACTATTTGCCCATAGCTGGGACCTTAACAGGTGCTACTACCACGGGTCAGGGTGGACCTGGGAACACCAGCAATTAAGAGGTGGTTCCATGCTCCTCAAAACCTCCAGATCAGAGGCCTTGCTTATTTATCGTCTTACCCAGGACGCAGATGTAGGTAGTTTCAATAAATGCTGAAAAACAGAAAATAATAAAGTCTTTGTGTAAGAGAATATCCTCACTGGAGATATCAAAAGAGCTTCATAGTTTGAGAACTAAATACAAGAACTTGTTTTTGGAGGGGAATATAAACAAAGGTGAGTTATATTGAAACAGCCACTTTTGACCTGTGCTCAGACCTTTGAACAGGCTGGAATTGAAGGAGTCATGAAGTGAAGCAAGATTGAGACTGGTTAGTACTTAGATGGGTTACTGCTTGGAAATACCATCTCTTCTTCCCACCCAAACCGGAGGTTAATAACAGCAGACAGTTCACTCTAAGCTTAAATTTGGTTCAGCAAGCCAACCACCCACACTGATAATCTATCTGAACATCCTATATATATATATATATATATCAACTCTAAAAAAAAAAACTTAATATTCCATGGTTATAATTTATTACATTGGAATCATAATCATGATCCAAATCATCAGACCTACAAATTCAAAAAAGAAATCGGAAATTTTTTGAATTTGTAGGTCTGATGATTTGAATCGTGATTACAATTCTAATATAATAAATTATAACCATGGAATATTAGTGTTTGAAACCTTTTATATTATATTGTTACTCTATCCTGGACATTGAGTTCTACCTGGATTCTATCCTCCTGGGAATTTATATATATATATATATATATATATATATATATATATATATATATATATATATATATATTAATTAGTTTTGTGTTGGTTCCTTTTACAGGAGAAAAGTATTTTGTGTTGGAATTAAAAACGGTGTCCTTACTGATTGGTTTTTCAGAATTTCTATTTAAATCTCAGTGACTTTTCTTGGCTTCTTTCATCCAATTCATTTTCTCATCAGTCAAATCACTGGCATAAATCTATCCACCTGCAGTCACTCTACTTTTCTGGAGGCTAATTTTCAGTAGTCACCAGTACCAACCTGTTCCTCACTCCCTACTGTTTCGTTAGGATTTGTCTCTGATTAAAATCTTTGAGAATATGGAAACCCAGTAACTAAAACCTGTAACAGATTAAACTAGCCTACATTTGCAGAATTAAAAGACACCCGTGGAATAGAAAGGGAGACAAAAAGACAGACAGAAAGAGAAAGGGTGAGACAGAAATAGAGAGATGACTTTACTTATTTCATTGCCTTAAATATCAAAGGGAACTCATCTAGAGTAATCACCAAATTTGTTAGAAATCTATTGTAATGTATGCCAAGAGTGTGTTGAGGTTGTGGGAAACACCTAACTGATTTCTCTCTCAGCAACTATGAGGGTAATGGACAGACAGGTGAAAGAGATGGGAGGTAACAAAAATAACACTGCCTCTGAAAGCACTGCATTTTGAAAAACAAAAGTGCCCACAGGATCAACTTCACAAGACACCATGTCGTACCAACTGACAACTGAGGGTTTTCCCATTGCTTTTATTGGCATGAAGCATCTTTCAAAGACCCAGATCTTGTCCAGTTGCAGAGAGGCCTGTATCTAAATATTCCAAACTGTCCTGCTGCTAACAAAAAACCCAGATGTAACTGGTGTTGACAAACATAGCTGCATACAATTTGAGATCACTTTTGCATCTGTACTGATGCATGCTCACCATAATTTAATGCAAATTTCTTTCTTTATAAAATGATAAATAAATTTTTATAAAAGGTAAATAATAAATATTATATTGTACTTGATTCTCATGTTTTTATAATCTTATAAATAAATGTTACCAAGGGAGTTAAAAGGTTATACAATTATAGTGGTGCCAAGGGAATAACCATACTTTTGACACACCATTTTGGTGGTGGGGGTTCAAGGTTGAACAACATTGCCTCAGTTTCATTAGATGGAATAATATTTCAGATGTCAATCTATCTTTCTTTATATATACAGTAAGTTCAGAAGCCGTATGATGTTCATGACGTAATTGAACAATAATCTCAAGGTCACCTTAATATGATGGTACGAATAAAAGAACTTCAAAGAAGGTAATTAATTATTCTATATTTTATTTTAATGTCATATATATATATATATATATATATATATATATATAAATAGGGAGAGAGGAGAAAGAGATGGGAGGTAACAAAAAATAACATTGCCTCAGAAACCACAACAACTTGAGGAACAAAATGCCTATGGGACCAACTTCACAAGATGACAAGAGGCCTCTTTTGCATCTGTACTGATGCACGGTCACCACAAAATCATTATTAAAGAAGTCTTTCTTTATCCACTTTCCTTGGTTTCAGTTACTTGCAATCAATCCCCCAAATAATTCCCAAGTCAATAATGCTCTAAAAGCATAAAACTAATAATGCTGGCAATTTAAATATTGCAAAGAATCATAATTGGTCTATTTAAATTCAGAAATGAACATTCTCAACTCAACTCTTAAATAATAGAAAAAAGTTGCACAAACATGCACGCCAAACATGTAAAAAACAATATTTCCAAAAGTGTACTTTTTATGCTTATACTCAATTTAATTATATAAAAAGGAAATATTTTAAAATAAAGAAAAAAGGAAAATAAATTCTAGGTTGCTAAATTTAATATTTAATATTTAAATTTTATATTTTTTATTTAAATTGAAAGTTTAACTCTAATATTTAAATTTAATATTGACTATTTAATATTTAATATTTAAATTTAATATTTAATATCTAATATTTAAATTTAATATTTACTATTTAAATTTAATCTTTAATATTTAAATTTAATATTTAAATTTAATATTTAATATTTAAATTTTATATTATTTTTTTAAATTGAAAGTTTAAGTATATTTAATATTTAAATTTAATATTTACTATTTAAATTTAATATTTAATAATTAAATTTAATATCTAATATATAAATTTAATATTTAATATTTAAATTTAATATTTATATTTGATATTTAAATTTAATATTTAATATTTAAATTTAATATTTAAATTTAATATTTAAATTTAATATTTAAATTTAATATTTAATATTTAAATTTTAATATTTAAATTTAATATTTAATACTTAAATTTAATATTTAAATTTAATATTTAAATTTAATATTTTTTAACAATATGTCATTTTTTGATTACACAGGTAAATTGTAATTAATAATAATAATTAAGCTGTATAGTAATTAGCATTTGTATTTAATAATTAGTATTTGGTGATTAGCATTTGTAATAAATTATAACATAAATTCTATAAATTGGAAATTATTTGATGTTTATAGAGGCACCAAATTTTGGACTCTATGTCAATGCCTGAATTAACTGAAACTGAGACATCCAGAAAAGACATGGTATGTGAAATTAAAACAACCTTTACTCCTGCAGACTAAATAAAGAATTTGGTTTGAAATTACAACATATATGACCGGAAGAAGGCTGGAGCATGCATTGACCGAAATGTTGTGAATATGCCAACAAAGATTAGGGCAACAGGCTGAATGATGTAAATAGTTACAATACCTCATCTCAGAAATATAGGCAGATCCTGAAGAAGGCCAGAGTGTACAACAGTCTAAACATTGCGAATTTGGCAATGAAGATTAGGGCAACAGTCTGAATGTAAATAGTGTAAATAGTTACAATACCTCATCTCAGAAATATAGGCAGATCCTGGAGAAGGCCAGAGTGTAGAACAGCCAAAACATTGGGAATATGGCAATGAAGATTAGGGCAACAGTCTGAATGATGTAAATAGTTACAATACCTCATCTCAGAAATATAGGCAGATCCTATATAAAGGCCAGAGTGTAGAACAGCCAAAACATTGGGAATATGGCAATGAAGATTAGGGCAACAGTCTGAATGATGTAAATAGTTACAATACCTCATCTCAGAAATATAGGCAGATCCTATATAAAGGCCAGAGTGTAGAACAGTCTAAACATTGGGAATTTGGCAATGAAGATGAGGGCAACAGTCTGAATGTAAATAGTGTAAATAGTTACAATACCTCATCTCAGAAATATAGGCAGATCCTATATAAAGGCCAGAGTGTAGAACAGTCTAAACATTGGGAATTTGGCAATGAAGATTAGGGCAACAGTCTGAATGTAAATAGTGTAAATAGTTACAATACCACATCTCAGAAATATAGACAGATGTTAAATAAATCCTTTATCTCTCAAAATGTTGCATAAAATGATACAGTCAAGGACTAAAACCAAATTTTAATGAACTTCTCATACTACTAACAGATTTATTGTTTGCTTGCCAGAAACCTTTCTACAGAAAAAAAAACGTTAATTGCAAGATCAAAAATTATGAAGAATATCCTTATATCCATGATGATGTACTCCGAGATAATCGAGGACTATCAGTCTTCATCAGGAATGTAATTCCTCAAATCAGACTGGAAATAAAAATGAACGTACAGATAGTTATAATTTAACAGCGGCAACCCTTTATGGGGCTGCACAAACCTGAACCAAAAAGGAAAAAAAAAAAAATAGGATTCATGAAAAATAATAATTCATGTCTTTTCAATAATAAATCCCAAATTTATCTGAACATTTTCTATGGCTATAGCTATAGACCTAAATATATGCCACCCAATGATTTACATGGATTATATTTGGAAAGTGTATGAAAACACATGTAGCAGCAACCAATTAAAAAGACTTGAATTTACAAACTTTGCTTAACACAAACGCAAAAGCGAATCCAAAACAAAACTCGTGAAATTTCACAACTTGATGCAAAATGTTTTTCAGCCAATAGAAAACTAGGAAACATTTAAAAACAAAATTCAAATAATCTTCAATTCTCAGAAACACAATTCTTTTACGGACCTTTTTGTTTGTCGTCCAATAGAAAGGCCCGAATCACCAGAGAGGAGGAGACGAGCGTTTAACACATCCCTTGACAAACGTCAAGTAATCATTGTTATTATCTCTACCTTTCTCCCTCACCTCTTTTATACTTGATAAACGAACAGAACATTTTAAGACTGAGCGATTACTTCAAAGTCATTCCTATCCTACGATAACGCTGATACATACATACATACATACATCCACACATACATTCCTACCTGCGTACACATAAACTCATTCTTGCAAGGACTACTACAAACATTTTGACCACCTTGTATCAACCAAAATAAATAAATTTTTTTTGTAGAGACCATAATTGATTTCACTTTACAATTTGATTTTCTTCTTTTATACCCCTCTTATGATGGGCTATCTAACAAGGCCAAATCAAACTAATCTGTTTCAACACTCATAAACTTCACTATAACTGATTATCCACAGTAAATTTACATCCATGATCTTACAACATTTCACCTTTCTTGGCAGATCGTCTATTAAACACAATGTGCAACATTTTATGATAAAAGTTTTGAAAACATAAACAAAAAGAACTTAAATTTAATCGACTAGACCAGCGGACCCCAAACTACTACAAATATTTTGATGACCTTGTATCAACCAAAATACATTAATTTTATTTGTAAAGACCTTTATTGATTTATATGTATATAAATTTGTTGTTTCACTTTACAATTTGATTTTCTTGTTTTATACCCCTCTTATGGTTGGCTAACTAACTAACAAGGCCAAATCAAACTAATCTGTTTCAACATTCATACACTTCACTATAACTGATAACCGACTATAAAACAACATTCTCTCTTACTGAGGCAGATGAGTTAACAATTAATCATTACTCTACTTGTTGATTCTCTCCCTTCGGACGGAGAGGAACTCAGATGATTACCTACGGGCAGAGTCAAGGACAGCGGGGTAGATAGCCACCTGATCCTGTGTATGCGAGATCTATGGGGAACTAATCTGTTTCCACACTCATTCACTTCACTATAACTGATAGTCCACTTCCTCAACAAAACTTCAAACAATATGGGACTTGGTTAGCAAAATATCTGGAAGAAACAATAGCAATCTGTCAAAAGA